GACGTAGACATGTGGGGGCGTGTTTGAATGAGGCGTTTTAGCCCGGTCTGGATCAGCCTTCTCTTTTAGATAGAATCAATCCTTTTGTGGGAGACTTTGAGATTTGTAACTCTGCAGATCTTATACATGCACAAATAGCTACATAACACACTAAAGAAAAGGAAAAATAGAAATCGCATCATATGACCCCTTTAAAGTTGTCAGAATGAAGTCCTTAGCAATGCATATTACTAATGATAATACATTTTTGTTATATTTACAGTAGGAAATTTACAAAATATCTTCATGGAACATGATCTTTAATTATAATATCCTAATGATTTTTGGCATAAAAGAAAAATCGATAATTTTGACCCATACAATGTATTTTTGGCTATTGCTACAAATATACACCAGCGACTTAAGACTGGTTTTGTGCTCCAGGGTCACATCTGTATTCATAATAATTAAACTGACCATTTAAAAAATTTATTTATTTTTAATATCTTTAACGCTACTAAGCAGCTTTTTAAAACAATGGGCATATGTGTTTAGAGCCATCACTCGACCGTTATGAATTCATTAAAGAATACTTTCTTTCTTCTTTAATTCTGACCTAATATTTGACCACTGCTGTTTCTCATGACTATTCCCTCTATAAAAATAGGTATTAGCAACAGCTAGGTAACGACATTGATGATTTCAAGGTAAAAATCACTAAACTGGACTAATTTGAACAGTCGCGCTGAAAATGTGTTGTTTTAATAAGGGGAATTTAAGGAATCGGGGAGAAAAAAAGTCATTAAGTGTGTAAAAACGACTGCAATCTTGTATTATTCTTGATCCTGTTGTGATATAAAGTAAATGGATAGATTCCTACAGTGAGAGTCGGGAGTCAGAGTCGACCTTGAAAAACCTGGAATTGAACACCACTATCACAAATCTGATTTTTGATTTGTCATTATGGGATGTCGACTGTAGACTGATGTAAAAAAAATTATAATAATAATTTAAAGCATTTTGGCACAAGGCTGCAACAAAAAAAAAAAATGAAGGGGTCTGAATGCTTTCTGAATGCACTGTATTTCAAATAAATCTTCAGAGAGTTCTTGATTTGCTTGCATTAAGATTGGTAGACACATATTATAAACTATCAGTGACAAAATAAGGTCTGAATTGTGGGTATGGCAAATAAAACATCTACGCTATATTTTACTCAGTCTCATTTCAGCAGATGCATAGGCCACTTTAATGGTCTAATATCATAGAATTTAATAGACAAAGAGCAGCATGAACATTCTGCTAAACATGTCTTTTGTGTTCAATGGAAGAAAAAAAACCATGCATACAAACAAACATACAAATAATGCAAATAATCTATGATGTTCTAGTAGTTGTTATAAACATTTCTGCTTTCCTAAACACTGAATCTTCCAGACACAACCGACAAATGTCACAACAAAACCATACGTTTTAAATAATACAGTTTGTTCTGAGTGAAAACAGAAGGACAAATCAAGATATTTGTGTCTATATACATTCACCCTCGCCTGTTTTATAACACATTTTAATACTGTATACTTGAAAGTCTGAATACATGTTTCTTGCCTAATTAGACTGTGTGTCTATGAGTCAATAAATACATAAATTGTGTACCTCTGTCTTGGCAGTGACTGGTTTCTTGGCTGCTTTGACGCTTGCGGTGCGTTTGGGGGCCTTATCTGCTGCATCTTCATCTGAATGATCCGTCCTGCTTTCGGACTGGTCCTCAGAGCGAGAGCTGTGCTGTGATTCAGTGTCAGCCGGTATGGCTGCGGCATGAACTGAAGAAAATAATAAAGATGGACACAGTTTCGAAAATATATTTCTTTCTATTCCGCAGCATGTGCTGTACTGGATTTTTTTCCTCTAGATGAGCAGCTGCCATGAATATGACACGTTGCTATTTTTTAGTCTGAGATCAATTATTTGAAGAGACAGATTTTGAGTAGGTCTCAGGCTACATTCACACCACAGCTGAAAGTCGCTCAAGTCGGATTTTTGAATTTAGACCTTGTCCACTTTTATATGTGAAAATAAATTGCATATACCTTTTAAAATGTATAGTTGAAAAAATTTAGAAGACAAAAAAAAAAACAGAATATTAGGACTGCCAAAAATGTTATGTTAATTAACTAATGCAGCATCTATTTTTCCCTTCCTGAAAAAGCTATGCTAACATATTTTTCCCCAAATCCTTTGCCTGGTGTTACAGAACATGATCAGGCTATCTGCATGCCACTCACAATCTCTGATGTAATTTTCTTATTTATTGTCAAAATTAATGCGCAAAATAAACTTAGCAGGAAAAAAATTATTCAAATAGAGTGAGTTGATATTGACAGAAACATCACTATATTACTATACACAATATACAGCGCACTATATTAAAGGCACAGCTAAATGTATCATTTATTATAATGGTTTTAAGTGAAGAATGTTTTAGATTCACTTAAATTTGAAGTTAGAATATTTTTTGTGTTCAGTAACAGGCCGATTACATTTTTAAAAATAAAATAAAATAATCAAAAATGTTAGGTTTGGTATAATTACAGAAAAATGTGTGATTTATGTCCATTTTTTTTTTTTTATTGATTAACAGCACTACAAAAAAAAATCAATATCATGAAATTTGTTATATGCTAAAAAAAATGCCTGTTTAGACCTTGGCCTATTTAGACCAGTGTCTGATCCGAACCACATTAAGAGGTCACGTGAATGCACTAATCAACCAAATCAAATACAAGCACAAAATTTGTCTTGTGGTGTGATCACTGGCTCTCTGAACAGACTCTATCTGGCATTTAAAGCTTGCCAAACCTCATTCAAAGCCTGAAACACAAAGACTTCTTTAGAAGAGCCTTTTGCTTGTCCATTCACAATGTATCTTTGACGCCCTGTAATTCAACGAAGGAGCTCTGTGGGCTAATAAAATCACTACATATCTCATTATTGAAATCATCACCTCTGTGGAACTCTGAATGATCCTCCCACAGACTTTCTTTGTGTTTGCTATAAAGGCTTACTGGGGGTCATGACCTTCAGTGACTTGCGAGTCTTGTGACGTCACAGTATTTGAAGAGGCCAAACTCCGCACAGTCCTGAACCGCTTGAATGAGCGCTGAAACTCATCCAACAAATGGAAAGCAGTGTGCAGTTGCGTATGAACAAACCCAAGCAGATCGACCCCTCCTCTCTCTCAGCACGTAGGCAGCTGAATCACATGCTGGTCACATCAGCATCAGCATTAGAAACAGGCTGAGACAATGGCCGCCTGCAGAGCGGCTTTCAATCAAGTGAGTCAGCAAACACACAAACACCTCACTGACCTGCTTGTGTGTGTTTAAACAGGACAGACTATTATAAATATGAGCTGTACTCAAAGCGATATTTACTGGAGTTATGTGTCACTATGGTTACAGGCATTAAAGAAGCAGATTTACTTTGGTTACATACCAACATTTTTCAATCTGTACTTGTCTGCAATTGTATGTACAGGATTAGATTTAGGGAGTCACACCTGTTAGTAAATAGGGTTGTTAAAACCAAACACTCATTATGTGAACGCGGCCTACAAAGTTAGATTCTGTTAGGACCATAGCCGTGTGTGTGTTACCTGTGCGCGTGACTGTTTTAGCCCGAGGTAGCGTGGCTGCAGTGTGTGTGTTGTCTGTGCTGTCCAGCTGCAGCTCGTCTTCGTTCTGAATCAGAGTCAGATCCTGCATGCTGAAACTGCGCAGCTTCTCTGATAACACACCCTGACCCTGCAGTTCAATAACACAAAAGACTCAAATATTACAACTGCATTATCTTATTCAAGGCACTAAACAATTATACTGTACTTGTACATATGACAATAAAGTTCTTTGCTGAACCCAGTTTGAATAAAAGACAAATGTGTATTGAACAGTGACCCTGCCCTACACTATGCAAAATATGGTAAGTTTCTTTCTTAACTTGTGCAAAAAAAAAAGCAAAAAAAAAAAAACACTGCTCTTTACAATAGCACCTAGGATTTTCAGTAATAAGGATTTTTTTTTAATGCTGGACCAGTAGGTCAGAACTTTACTCACCCTGAATATATTTCCATTGGCCCCACCACAACAACATTATTATTTCATAAAGAAATAAAATCATTCACTGCTGTTCAAAATATGTGGTCAGTAAGTTTTTTTTTTTAACTTAAAAAAAAAAAGAAATTGATACTTTTATTAAATAAGGACACATTAAGTTGATCAAAGGTATCAGTAAAAATATTTAAAATGTTACAAAAAATTAGAATTTTAAATAAATGCTGTTCTTTTGAACTTGCTATTCATCAAATAATCCTGAAAAAATGTATCTCTGTTTCCACAAAAATATTAAGCTGCACAACTGTTTTCAACACTGATAATAAAAATAAGAAAAAGGATCATGTGACACTGAAAACTGGAGTAATGATGCTGAAAATTTAGCTTTGCATCACAGGAATAAATTACATTTTACAATATATTCAAACAGAAAACAGTTCTTAATAATATTTCATAATATTACTGTATTTACTCTGTTTTACAGTTAATTAAATAATATGATAAATAATTTTTTTTTTTAAGAAAACAAAACACTGTCACTCTCACACTGGCCCCAGGACCACCCGACTCCATTGAGCCCTGACCCACAAATGCACACTTCATCTAAAACACAGTGATTTGACCTTTGAGGCTGCTGTGACTGCTGCAGTGGCTGCAATGTTGAGTCCTCTCTTCCCAAACCGCATCATGGTCTCATAACTGCGGTCTTTAGCCTGGGTTATGTACTCATCAATTTCCTGTAACGCACACATACATTAAAAAAAATGTAAAGACTCATCTTTAAAAATATTTTGATTATATTTAATGATGCAAGTTGTATTGGTACCCTTTCTTTATTGGAAAGCGTGGGGTGCACAAACTTGCGGTACAGCACACTGGAGCCCTTGGTGTACGGGGACAACAGCCAGATCACAAAGGCAATCTTCAGCTCAAAATAAAATGGAAACCTGGAAAATGGGAGGTCAACATTTAACAATTAATACAATAAAAGCTATATTAAATCAACATAAATTATCACTTTAAAAAAATTTTTAACTTATTTAAAAAAAAAATAGTAAATTATCTTCAGAATGATGCTCAATTTGTGAAAAATCAAATGTATATATAACGTGATAAATATTTCTGAAATAGTCTAACAGTATTAACTGACTGACCAAGAGAGAAGCATATCTGTGATCGTCTCTGCTGTCATAAATAACGCAAACACGATCCAGTACATCATCCATTTCACCTGAGGAGGGAAACACACACAGATGTTATAATCAAGCTCGTGTGTACATGACATCAGCACGCATCAGGTCACATGTTCTTGCTGAATATAGCTTTGTGTGTAATGCATGACTGCCTCATGAATAAACAGTCACCACTGCACTGCATTGCCAGTTTTATCTCCATCTTTACTGCCAATAATATCCAACTGAGTAATTATCAAATGACACATAACTATGGTCATCTAAAACTGCATGTGCATTTATAAATTCATCTTCAAAAATGTCTAAAGTGTTTTTACTAAACATTTCTAAAAGAATGGAAGGTGGTGCTATTTGTAATACAGATGAGAGAGATGCTAAAAATGGTGTCTAAGTGAGCAAACTGCTGCCCTGGTGGTTTCCATAGCAACCAGTAACCTGAGACTCTGAGATAAATATGGTTTCAAAAAATTAAAAGATATATGTACACATTAAAAAAAAAATTATTCCTAAAATCTTAGGGAATAAAATGAGGCCTTTCCTGGGCTATTCGGGGAGCATATTATCTATTTTAAAACATATATAATTTTGGCACTTTCCATGAATAGGGTATAAACTGAGGCACAAAAATTTTGTTTTTTCAAAAGAGAACTGTTGTGCGTCTCCGAGCAACACACAGCAGTGATTCATTTCTGAATGAATCCTCGTTTTGAACAAATCGGGTGAACGAATGATTCAATTAACCATTAATAAAGAAAGCCATTTAAGTCATTACTGAATGACAAATCGAATGAATGACTTAAACGTTAAAACATTAACCGCCACCTACCGTCAGTTTTAGTTTCTTATTTAGAGAATAATTTCATAAAAATAATAATAATCATTTCATATTTCCATATTAATAAAAAACCCATTAAAGGGATAGTTCACCTAGAAATGAAAATTCTGTCATCATTTACTACCTTCATGTTGTTTCAAACCTGTATGGCTTTGTTTTTTTGCAGAACATAAAAAGATATTTTGAAGAATGTTGGTAACCAAACTGTTTTGTTTACCATCGACCTCCATTGTATGAAAAAAAAAAGAAGCTTTTTATGTTCCACAGAAGAAAGAAAGGACACAAGGGTGAGTAACTGATAACAGAATTTTCAAGTTTGGGTGAACTATCCCTTTAAAACCCATTTAAAACCCATTAATCTCATGGTATTATTTATGCAATTGTAATTGCAGTGTAAATGGCTGAGTACCAATTCAGAAATTCAAAATCTGAATCATTTTCAGATTTTATTCTGAAAATGTTGAATCAAATTAAATATTTTGGCAATATAGCCAAATTTGATGCACCATTAATTTGGTTAATTAGATTATCACTTGAGAACTAGACGAGTCCTCTGCTCAATCTGACTTGTGCTGCAGCCTGGAATTAAACCACGCCATGCTGGTTTCGTATGGCTAGAGGAGCCTGGGTTCTCCCAAGGTTTTTTTCCTCCATTTCTGTCACCGATGGAGTTTTGGTTCCTAGCCATTGTCACCTTTGGCTTGCTTAGTTGTGGACGCTTAATTTCTGGCAATATTGTGGACTTGATTGCACAGACACTGCTTGAACTAAACTGAGCTGGACGATGACATCACTGAATCAATGATGAACCCACTTTAACTGAAAAATCGAGTGTTTACTATTGTCCTCTTGCATTATCGACACACTATTTTCCTGTTTAATACTGTAAAGCTGCTTTGACACAATCTCTATTGTATAAAGCGCTATAAATAAAGGTGATTTGACAGCCCCAATATATATATTATTATAGCGCTTTATACAATACAGATTGTGTTAAATTGAAGCCATTCTGAAATACTCACATACTCCTTGACGTTTTTCGTCTTCACAGCCTTATAAGATGAATAGGCTGGATAGAGGGTCCCGAAGGCCAGGCTGCAGAGAGAAAAAACTCCTATTAAACACACAGCTCGGCAGACACTGACAAGCTCATCTTACCATTACACCAGCATCTACAATTTCACTTGCACCATTACCTCAAGGTAAAGAACACAATTACGACACTTAAGAGGCTGCCTATTTAAGTGTTAAAGGTAGGATAGATATCTCTGGTTCATTCAAATCCAACCAGAACAGAAATAAATCAGTTTAAGAATCACATATCCAATATACTGTTGGCTGATCAAAATAGTCAGACCTGTACTTCAGTGAAACGCAAACCCATAAAACTTATCCCAGTCAACACACTAGCCCTACTGTGCACACACAATCATGCTTGATGACGTTACTGAAAGCAAACACCCCGAATCTGAGAGCCATTAAATGTGAAGCATATATGAAAGGGAGTCGGAGAGCATGGAGACGGATGAACACACAAAGGGACCAGATTAGATGCAGATGCCCTGCATGTGCAGCATGCACTCAGACACATTCACTCGCGCTCCCACACACACAAACATGCTGTTTTGTGCTGATGTGACAAAAGCTGAACGTTCTGCAATGGCAGATCCAGCAGAGGATGTCAGGATTAGTGGTCGACCGATATTGGTTTTTTGACAGCCGATGCCGATATCTTGGAATACAAAATTGCAAGATTATTTATTTTAATTGATATTTAAGAAATTTGAAATCATTTGAAAATGGATTAAAAAATAATTGTGTTAAATAAACATACTTATACTTTAGATGACTTAAGTATATCACAAATAAATAAATGTTTAATAAAAATATAATTAAAAAGGAAGTAAACACTCAGTATTCTGGGAAGTTTGTATGCATTGGGACTCATATTTTTTTTTTCAAATAAAGCCAAGGTAACACTCATTTTACATACAGCACACAGTGGAAATTACATGAATATGGCAGTGGGCAAATGCATAAAGTGCAGCATAATTTGAAATCACAAGTTTAAAGAGGGGTTGTTTATATAGCCTACCATTTGCCTGATTTTATACAACATGAATTTTTCTGGCTGATTTATGGAGTGCTGAAATTAGATCCAAAATGCCCTCTGTAAAAATCTTTGACTCTAATGTGTCAACAAAATGAAAATCATTTTGAACCCGGCTTTCAGATTTCTGTTCTGGAAATGTATGCAAATCAGATAGATGCCTCATTCGCATATACAAACTTACCATTTCAGAAAACTTGTAAAACAAGAAAATGTTTGCAATTCTTAATTAATTAACTGTGGAATATAGTAATATCTAAGAGTTACATTTTTTACTCTCTTATGGGGCATCTTGCCTTTAAAACATGGTTGTACTTATAGTTCATGATGCATTCTACTCTATAAATGCATATGTTCATATAGACTGTGCACTGTGGGTAATGCGTAATGAAGCATGAGGACAGTGAGGCAGTCTGGCGCATAGCAGACCACATGCCCTCTCTGTCCCATTCGCTAGCCTGACTCCCATAATCAGGGCAGGACTTAGGGGGGGCGGGGCCCCTGGGCTTGAGGTTATGTTTGGGCCCTATACCTACACTACAAATGCCCAAAGGTAAGTCTGGCCATGCCCATAATGCATCTGCTCTCCACAGTTAAAGCCACAGCAAAGAGCATTCCATGAGATTCAGCAAAACCAGGATAATGATACCTGATGTTTGTTTCTAACGCCCTAGATCAGACCAACACAGTCATAACAACGAATTCAACCTCTCCCATTTCTGCCCAAGCAGTTTTTGTAATAATATAACCTGCACATGCATTGCGGAGCCAGGCCTGAGTGTTTAATGTAATCGATTAATCAGGAAGACTCAGTATGATCCAATGCGAATCAAAGTCATATGAGACCCAAATGTGTGTGTCATATGGACCAGACTGGCCTCCTTTACATTGCGTAACATTACCAGCAGGAACAAATCAGCTAAGCAGGTAGGCCTTATTTCAGAAAAAAACCCTCATCAACCCATCTCAGAAGTCTCTGATAACAGTTTGTGATTTAAAAATGGACATTTGAAAGTATGATGACATACGCATATAGAGGAGATGATGTGATTGGTGTAATATACACAACAGCTGGCATGTTAAAAACCAATATGTTTTTAAGCCAAACTATTCCATTCTCTGTTGAAGTGTTTGGTACATTAAGGCATAATATCATCCACAGGGCATTTTGGTCTAGGTGAAAATCATGCACACAACAAGCAACCCTCGTCTGGATATAGTCATCGCTTTGTTTTATTAATTTAACCCTTTATGTCATTTATAGGAGTAGCCGGATAAATTTAAATGTTAATATTCAAGGTTTTCAATTAAAAAATAAGCAGAATATTTTCTAATTCCATTGAAAAGCGTCATGTATCCGCAGCAACACAAACACACGCGCGAGCGCCGCATAGACACTCACACCACCATCCGCGAAATGATCCACGACACCATCTTGATCTCTGCGAGGACTTTTCCTTATTTTAGTCGATTATTCAGCATCTCCATTCCGACCGCACGAGTGATGCTGAATATCAGGAGGAATCCCGGCGGATCTTGTGTGTCTGTGTCTCAGTGTAGCAATGAGGATTACTGGGAGCCGCTGCATATGCACTCAGTCAGCCCGCGTCTCTTAAAGGGGCAGTGACATCTTTACCTGCTCCGGTTATTAAAGGGGTCATATGATGCGATTTCAATTTTTCCTTTCTCTTTGGAGTGTTACAAGCTCTTGGTGCATAAAGAAGATCTGTAAATTTGCAAAGACTAAAGTCTCAAATCCAAAGAGATATTCTTTATAAAACTTCAGAGTCAGCCACACTTACCTAAAACGGCTCGTTCTAACACGCCCCAACATACCTACCTCACGATGTGGGAAGATTTGCATAACGCCGCCCAAATGTTCACGCAAAGAAAGAAGGCGTAACTTTTAGTCTCACTGTAGTATTGTTGCTGCCGCTATGTCGTGAAGATGCTGAGTTTCGTTGTGAAAGCGAAACTACTTTGTTTGGTCTTCCAAAAGAGGACGATATCCGCTTCGTCATGCCTAGAGCTGATCCGTGCTGGTCGCTGAGGGAATACATCAACTTTCACCGTGGACGAAGCGGAATCCAGCCCGGGGTCCGTCACATGTGGTTGCCGCTCATTCGTCGGATCCGCCGGGCGCGCCGTTCTCGACCCCGCCGCCTCAGCTCACTCTAGCCCGGCCTCAGCTAACGCTAAGCCGGGGCTTCCGCTCATGCTAGCCGGGCCTCAGCTCACTCTAGCCCGGCCTCAGCTCACTCTTTTGTACTTTCACTCGAGTAAAATTGAAAACTGAGTACTTTTACTGGAGTAATATTTTATTATACAGATCTGTACTTTTACTCAAGTACTTGATTTGTGTACTTCGTCCACTGGTTCTGGGTCACACTGACACCCCTCATGTCCACCACAAAGGTTTCTCTCATGATGGGAAAGAACAGCAAGGAAGTTCCAGTCAATGCCACCCGTGTTTGCAGTCGTAGCCTCAGCAAGAGCTGCTGTCCAAGACTGCTTCAGTCCCAGAGCTCCTCTCTCAACCTCCCTGGTCCCAGAGGTTCCTGCTAAAGCCGCTCTGGTCCAAGAGGATCCTCTCACAGGCTCAGAGTTTCCTGTCACTGCTGTGATTCCTCCATAAAGATAATACACCTGTGAGCCACATTAAAAATACTTTGTGATTGTGAAAATACACAAAAACGTTTTAATAGGAAAATGTGATAATCTGGAACTATTAACCACTCCTTCAGCTCTAAGCCTCTTGTTTTACCACTTTATATGCATCACTTTGAATGTTAATTTGAATAACAAACACACCAGGTATGTAATACCAGGTGAGTAACATCTTAGAAGAGCTAAACTACGTGACACTTCTTTTACAATTTGAAGCCCACAGGGGCACCATGAGCACTTTGAAGGGGGGTATGCAAGAAAGAATTATGGGTCCCCTCCAAGGAAACAAACAATCACAGGATTTAAAGGGGTTCAAGAGAGTAAAGAAAGACAAAGAAAATAGTTATTAAAAACTAGAATTTCTTGTGAAGCATTTAAACTATTAAGTTTTGCGTAGGGCCCCCAGAAGTCTAGGATTGTCACTGTGTCTGATGCATGTGTGGGGGCCGGGGCTGATTTGGAAGCATCCCACCAAGTTTGAGATCCCTATGACTTACGGTCTCTGACGCCCAGACACTTTTAGGGCAGAACAAATAAATTGCGTAAGTGTGATTAGTAAATATGGAGTCTCAAGCAGTGTTAAAATTTCTTTGATGTTGATGTCTTTTTAATGACAGGCTAACAGCTAATGTCAGTTTACAGTTTGTCAGTTTTATCATAAAATTAATTTATATTAACTATGGTATTTTGGTGTAAACTATTACTACTATTGTACGTTTTTTTTTTTTGTAATGGTTACGTGTCATTGATTTATTATATATTTTATTATTTCACAAGATATTTATAACAGTTGTTCAAGCGGTGGACCTATTTAGGGGTAACCGCTATATTTAAATTTTCATAAATGAAAACAATGCTGTGAATGGTCTTTAATGTTGATGGTTAACCGACTCAACATCGAAAATACATCACCAAAAAAAAACATCCTGACAGAAAAAAAAGAACAATTTTGCCATTCAATAATTAAATTCAATATATCCCCTATGGGTTGTAATGGACTACAACACTTGTCCAGCTTGTAAGGCACACACTTGTGTGTGTGTGTTTTTTTCACTAGTCAAAAGTTATTTGATAAACACTGATTATAGCCAAAGTTCCCCTTTTGAATCATGAAAAATCTAAGTAAACAGACACTATTTCAAAAGCTTTAGTTTATTGCAATGTCATCCATGAACCACAAAATGTCTTATAAAATAAAATAGTAAGCATTAAACAAATAGATAGCTAAGAAATTCATTGTGTAATTTCCAAACAACAGGGCCAAATCATTTCTTGAAAACCTTTATTTTGGGAAAAAAAAAACAATCATTCGCACTGCTAAGATCAATATATATATTGGTACATATTAACGACCAGTAGTTCTGCAGAACTGGAATTGTTGATTCTTGAATGACGTTCCTCAAAGCCAGTCTAACACTTGCTGTCAGTGAAATATTACCTAAATGGCATATTACAAAAAAAAGCAAAGAACATGTTTTCATCAAAAAGACAAAAAAAAAAAAATAAACAGGAACTTAAAACTAAAAATAAAAAACTTTGGTCTAGTTCCCTTCCATGCTCTTATCCACCTCTCCTGAAAAAGTTGGCGGGAATCTTTTAATCGATTTAATTACTGTTGACCCCCATCTTAACTAAAAGCTCTTCTTCATTGAAGAGCACAAAATGAATGCGCTCTAAGAAGGAAACCCAGTGCTCATGTTTTTCACAGAAGTCATAAAGAAACCTTGTTGTAGGCCTTAAAAGATTCATGTCAGCTTATATCACTAGCTCTCTGAACAGTCCAACACATTTTAAACGCTGAGAAAAAGAACAGACTTTTTAAATACAGAGAAAAGGATTGTAAAACTAAACAATGCTCTTGTAACACTGATGAAGCGGCATCTTCATCCTACCAAAACGCTGAGATGTTCCATTATAAACAGCTTGTTTTGCAAGCACACTGGCCTCATCCAAATCTCACCCACCCCGAGACCCAATCTCTCGGTGACTTCTCCACCATCAGGTCAACAACTAAGAGCGGCCTAGCTTAGGCTCATGGGCTTTTAATGTTCCCACAGCATCCTTCACGGCATGGTAGATGATGTTCTTCACCTTTAAACAACAGAAATAACATTAAATCAGAATCAAAAGTGTTTGGCAAGCATTTAGCTTACCAGAAAATATGGAAATACTGCTTTTGTGCTCCACAGAAGGGAGTCATATCAGGTTTGAGCAGAACGACATCTAGAAATACCTGTAGCTTGTCCTCGTGGTTAGTGTGAGTGGTGGAAAGGTGGCGGAACTCCTGCGTCAGTCTAAAACAGTGCTTCACATGCTCGGGAGAAACAAAGTCCTCTGCGACCTTGATACAGCTGTACAGGTTGTGCACCTGGGAAAACCAAGTTGAGCAAATGAGTTTTTATGTGTCAAGAAGGGGAATGTATCGTCTAGGATAATATTGTAATTGTTGTTGCAATGATGTGTCACTCACTTTGCAAAAAAACTAATAAAAACACGAGTTTACACTTTCACGGCATGATGTAGTCTAGTAGAATTCAGTTAAAATTAGGGCTGCCCCCAAATAGTCGACGAGAAGAAGCTTGGTCAACCAAAATTTTATTAGTCGCAGAAAAATAAAATCCACAGGAAGTGACAGACAGATCGTTAACGGCTGGTCTTTGTGGTAATACAGTACATCGGGCAGGACATCCAAATGCTCGCCTATCATTCATCGACCTCAAATATGGCTATTCATCTGAAAGATATATGTAGTAGCAACTTTACATGGTCGCTCAATCTAATGTTAGAGAAATGTGCGCTATTGAAGTGTCTGTGCGGAGTGTGGAAGCTGAACAATAGCGCTCACTGAAGGACAGATGGAGGCGCTAGTGTGCTCACTTGCTCAAAATACTCCCTCATTTTTGCTCATACAGATAGGAGTAACACATCTTTCGAATCTGTAAAGACTCTACTTTTATTTGTGTGCACAGAATAACAACGAAACGATGCGCTTTTGTAAAATAAAGCAAACAGGATGCGCTTTCTGCCATCTTGGTCTCTGTGAACTTGAGTGCGAAACTCCGTGTATAGGCTATCTTTGCTTTACAGGCATAAACAAATATATCTATAAAGAGTGAAATCTCTACTTTTAAATTAACCAATTCAAATAGAAAGCAAATATTCTCAAATTATGTAATTCGTATGAAACATGCATACAGGCGCATCACTGTGGAGATGACGAGTCAGCAGCCGGGTTTCCATCCAAAGTTGCGAATTTAACTTATGCACAAAACTGGAATATCACATAAAATATTTGCGAACAAGCATCGTTTCCATCCTGACCGTCACTTCCTGATAAACTGGCACTATAAATCACTAAGAAAAGTAGGAGAATATAATAATTTTCATATATAATAAACTACTTGCGCCGTTATGCCGTCCCATAGCGCAGTCACATGACATTTGATGCACTTGGAGGAATTTATTCGCCAAAAAGCATTTCCATCTTCCATTATTCGCATTAACCCTTTTTCGCACAAGTCAAAAACCACCTCAAGCGAGCGTAAAAACTTTTTTGAGAATTAAGGCATTTTTATTCGAAATTCAGCGTTTCCATCTCTCGATTCTGATGTGATACTTCAAAATGCGCATAAAAGCAGGGTGAGGGAAACCTAGCTAGTCGACTTCATCTCTTAAGCCGAAAACAAAGAAAGCACTAGGCTAGTTTATCAATACATTTTTTAAACGTTAATGAAGTAGTCTCTTTGCTGTTTTTCCCCAGACACATTCATAATTATAATTTCTGCCGGTACGCTGTGGCAAGCTTTTTTTTTTTTGCGTGCACTTGAGCGCTTTGTGCAATTAAAGGCTCATTATTATGATTTATATGGTTTATTAATAAACGTGCGACTAATAGTCGACTAATGCTTAAAATGAACGACTACTAGTCGACCATAAAAATCTTTAGTCGAGGGCAGCCCTAGTTAAAATGACCCCAAAATTCAATGTATAGGAGTATATAAGTTAATATTGCGAATTACATTTGAAACGTTATTGTCATTATTGTCTGTTTCGCCAATGAAAACAGTTCCAAAGAAAGCCACAAAAGAACCGCTGTGCGTCTCCAATCAACGCACAATGGTGCTTGAATCAGTGTTTCTGAAAGAATCAATGATTCAGTGATCCATGCATAAAGTCACTTGTTAAGTTCCTGAGTGAATCAGCATTTGAACGAATTGGTTGAATAAACGAATCAATGACTCATTTTTTAACACAGTAACTTGCTGCTACCAACTGGCGGTTTCAGTTTCATATTTCAAGTATAATTTCATCAAATCATATGTTTTTCAATATTCAAAATATTTTTAAAATCTCAGTATTAATTACGCAATTGTAATTGCAGTGTAAATACCTCTAAATGCTGCAGCTTCTGTGCCACTTCTGAAGTGCAAAAAATGGATTTTGTTGATACTTATTTCATTTGATTGGTAACAGCCTAAAGTGTTTTATTATTCTAATAGAATTTATTAAGTAAGAATTTAACAAAAGTTAAATTAGAAAAGTAAAAATGCCCCTGGAAATCAATTTAAGGTGGCAAATATCAGTCCTCAATGAAAAGGTTAATTTCTGTCACTGCTGTGAACTGACCGATACAAGAAATATCAAAATCTTTGGCCAGCTGTCCACGACAGGCCTAAAGCAGTCAAGTTACCAGCGCGAAAACACACTCAGCTAAATATCGTCCAATTACAGTTATCGACAAAATATTGAGTTTTTTTTTTTGTGTGTGTCAATATTGCACACCCCTAGTGTCAAGTACATGATTTTGAACTGAACTCTGATAGTGGACATCCTCTCAATAATTAACCTGATGTGGCGCTCCAGCTGGGATGAACACAGCATCTCCCAAAAACTGCACAATGGACCAGCCCTGGACTCCGTACTCCTCGTATAGCCTGCGACGCAGCGTCTGATCCAGGTACCAGCTCTGGTCGTGGATTGGATCATGGTCTGGTGGGTTCTCCTGACCTTGTTCCTCTCCAACCTGCAATAAATAGGTTAAATGAACTTCAGATATGCATACCGTAAGAGCAGAGAAAAGCAGAGAACACTGCCCAAATCTGAAATCTAAAATGTTGTCATCATTTAGTCATATATATATGGGTTTGCAACCACATGAGTGTCTTTATTTTTGGATAAACTATTACTTTAAAAGCAATAACAGTCAAAGTCATCCTTTCACCTTTCGCAGGAGCTCGCGGATCTTCTCCGCGTCTTTGGCGGCATAGATGTGCCAGAGAGCTCCAGGTTTCTCCTTTGCCTCATAGACTCTTCTCTTAGTCACGTCATCCACATCTCCCTCTTCAATGGTCTTCATCACCTCTGCAGTAATAACAGGTCGGTCAGTAAACATACCCACAATCAGAACTTGTGTAAAAGTCTTTATCATTTCCATAAAACAGTGAACTAGAGCTGAACTATTGATATTGACTGTTAGAGACTCATTTGTTTCTACACAGGGCCTGCGTATAAGCATTAGTTGGGCAACTACACTATGACCATCAAAACAGAAAGTAGATATTTAATAACTGATTATAATTACTAAGCAATAGGGCTGTCAAAATGAATGTTCATTCAACTTGTTTAACACTGTTATTTATGCAATGTTGTTAACGCTCTCAATTTATCTGACAGTATAGTGGTTTCATTCTGGTGTTTCCAACCACATGCTCCCGCTCTCTGCCCTCTGAAGATGTCAGCAAACCCAAACACACAACATGATTGACAGGCAGAAAGCATTTATGATTTTTAAACAAGTTCTGCCAGTCCTCTGACTCTATTCTTGCTGTTTAGGACTGTCACAGACACAGATGTGACCAATCTCAGTGATATCGGTCAGAAAGGATATTTTATGAGTTGCACTGCAAGAAATAATCATTCATAGGACATTTAGTTACTCACTCACATGCAAAACACACTTAAACATAATCGAGCAACAGAGAAGGTTATACAATATTAAGTCCACACAATGCGGAAAAATTTTATTCATTTTGGCAGATTACACAAATATTTCACAATGTTTTGACTCTTTGTCTTAAGAAAAAACTGAACTACAAGAAATTTTAGATTAATTGCAATAAAATATTTTAATCTACTGACAGCCCTACTATTGAAGCAAGCAAACGGAGCAAAGAGACTGAATTGGGGGGAAGGCAAGGATCCATCCTGCAGGGTCTGCTCAGGAGTTGTATAAAGAATATACATCAAAAATATACTAATCACAATAAACTGCTGCAGTATCCCAACACTTTTTTTGTATGGGGAAAAAATTGTCCGCACAGATTCCTGGAAATAAAAAGGCGACAAATTCCAATTTTAAAAGATGGAATGACAGGATATGAAGGTCCTTCACCAACCACTGAAGAGCATGGAAATAAAAAACAGCTTTCTTATAGCGGATAAGAACTATTTAAAGGGGTCATAATGTTAACCTAAGGCTAAACTTTAAATGTTCAACTAATCTGTCTGATCGTGATTATGTTATGAACTAGATTAACCAGTTAACTGAAAACAACTAGCTCAACAGAGTGATCGGTTCGATCCAGGTGCAGTGGTTCTCAAGAAACAGCTCACTGGAGGTGGGTCTGGGCCTGTTCCTAAGGCAAAGGCTTTCATACAGCTTCAGAAGACTTGGAAAATAGCTCATAATGGCTGGTCATCTGCCAATGTTGGGCCATCGTTGAATATCAATCAGCCCAGTTTCTGCAGTGTGTTCTGCACCTTTAGCTGCCCCCGTCCGCAGCTTTTTGACCAATTGAGCAGGTTAAATCGTTGGCGGAGCCCATCGGTGAGAGAAATCCCCGTTCAGCTTAGTGAACCAGTGCACAAAATCAAGGTCAAAAAGGCATAAACAGAAGATTTTTAATCCTCATCTCATCTGTGATGATTTTCATTGATTCTATCTGGTGAGAAAGTCTGATGTAAAAATGTAATAGAAAATTGGTGTGCTTTGTTTACAGTGTGTATATGCACAGTACTAGCTCTTCCAGTTTCCTCTTTTGAATGACGAATACAGACTACTGCCACCTGCTGGCATGGAGAGCTTTTGCTTCTCAAGCAAGCGAAGAACGTGCATGCTAGTTGGTTGTTGGCTGTAGTCTTTGCAATGTGTTCAGGCTCAACTTTTTGGCCCTGATGCAAGCGACACCACATTCGGCTTTCCTCAGAACTAGTTGTTAGTTTAGTGTGTTTGGCCTTTGGGTGGAGACACACCAAACCGACGCCAAAGAACTAGCGCTGAGGAAAGCCGACTGTGGCGTTGCCTCGCGTCGCCTGCCAAAAAAGTTGCACTAGAACACACCGGACAGACTACTGCCAATGACCAACTAGCGTATAAGCTCTGCACTTGCGTGAGAGAACATAACTCTCCCATACCAGCAGGTGGCAGTAGTCTGTATTCGGCATTCAAACAGGGAAACCGTCAGAGCTAGAACTGTGGACATATAAAGCAATCAGCGCTTGCTTTTAACATTGTTTACACCAGCCGCACTCATTACTGGCGGATTCGTGTAGCTTTGTTCAATCAAGTTATAAATGGCACTGGCATTGTCAGCACTTCTTGTGGATAAAGAAAGAAAGAAATGGATAGAATGACAACAAGTGTCTGTGGGAACCTCTTTACTCCGTCATTGGTTTGCTTTCGTCAGATCTGTTTTTCTTTCTTGTACGCTCATTCGCTAAGCTGAATAGCCATTCAGAGTTCTCTTTCTCGCTGACAAGCTCTGTCGCCAATCCAACATGCAGAATCAGCTGAAAAGAGCTGACGGCGTCCGACTAGAGCCAACTGTTGTAGAGCAGCATGAAGATTCTTCAAAACTTCTCCTTTTGTGTTCCACAGATAAACAAGAAGAATTTGGGTTTGGAACAACATGAGGGTGAGTTCAATAAATTTTCAGTCTTATGTCAACTATTTCTTGCCTTCTTGAACGGAGCAGGATGTTTACATTTTTGAAAGTTACAATTCATTATGCATGAAACTTCTGTTTGAAAAGAACCAAAGAAATTGTGATTTCTTATATGACCCCTTTAAAAAAAAAATAAAGCTAACTCAATCGTCAAAAGTTCTGAAGGACAGCGAGATGTAACAAAAAAAAAACACCATGGTCACTATGTTTTGGTGCCCTGGGACACCAAACTCTGAATGGAGTTTACAAATTGGTGCACAAATTGGTGTTTTATAATCAATATAAATAATACATCATTTAATGTAAAGAGTAGCAAGAGATGGGTTAAAGCAATGGGAGTGAAGAACAAGAGAGAGCGAGAAAAGTGGGAGGGCATGCCTGAGGTGAGACAAATGGAAAAAAATGCACAGACCTTTGAATCCAGCGCGGTCTGCTTCTGTAAATGAGAAATGGTGCCACAATCAAAAGTAGTAAGACCCCAAGAGCACAGGCCGTCCTAAAGGCCTTAACTATAGGGTGCCATAGGGCTGCACGATAAATCGAAATGGAATCGAAATCGCGATTGTCATGCATATCTTTCAGTGAAGCACGGTTCTGTGATCAGCAGTAAATCTCCATTCAAAGGCCAGAGGGCGCTCTCGCGCTCAAACTCCAAATACGCCTTGCAGAAGAAATCCAGGAAATTCTTATAGCCGTTGCTGGATAAACAGAAGATTTAACCGCTTTTATTGATTCAACGTGACTAATAAACACACGATTATGACAATATATGGTTTATCTGAGTTATTATTATTATAATTTTCATTAAAATAAAGTATATTTATAATGCAACGCCTTTATCACTGCTTAGAATACTATGAAATATGTTGCGTGCCTTATTCTGTGTAAAAAGCCACATCATCTCACAGAAGGATTTATTTCAAACACTCGACTGACGTTATGAAGTGAGTTTGGAGTAAAAATATGTTATTAAATGTGGTATTTTCACATGCTTTCAGATGGAGCAGCATTTACTACACAGAGCCGTAGTTATGAGAAGCTATGAGAAGCTATGCAAACAGCTGTCATTATCGCGAACGATTTCAGAATCGCGCAATAAAATCGTCTGCGATTTTTTTGCGTAACTTGTCAGTGAACTACGCCTATGTGTAGTAAATTCTGCTCCATCTGAAAGCATGTGATGATGATTTCCTGCTGATTACAGAACCGGCTTTACTAACAAAA